ATGTATGACCAAAATAGACAGAAGTATCCACCATATTTCTTGTCTACATAAAATCCGATGCTCCAAGCGAAAGGCTGGTGCAAATCAAGGATACGTCGCGCCCATTGCCGCGCGCGACGAAGCGGCAATTTACGATCCTTTTGCCCGTCTCTCTTAGGAAGTTAAGGTGCACCAACGAGGAAAACGCAATGAAGGTCCTCCCATATGACAGGTCGCGGATATGCCATTGAAGTACTCCCAACTTGCCGACGGCACTACTCTGTCCAAACCATTTCCTAAGGGGAATCGTTCCTCCCATCTAATCGTGGGACGAGTTTTTGAGTGCAGTGCAACTGCACATTGAATATCCTCGTTTTATCGTAAGCTCATGTTTACCAGTATCACCAAAATGCTGAAATAAGGTTACTTACTCGAACAGTAAAGTAATGCCGATGGTCCCATATGTAGCTATTTGACTGATCGTGGTAGAACTTCAACTTATCCGAACAAGTAAAGTCTTCGCCACGCGGCTGTCCAGTGCATTCGATATAGTACGAACCTGGTTCCATAGAATCCGGATACCTGGGACAGATGCAGTGTACAGTGGGAATTCACAACTTTATCCAACTAGGAGTTCTTTGACCCTCAGAAGAAGAATGTGGCGTCTGCTTAGCACAAAAAGGTTTGGTGCCGGCACCATACACCTAGAAACACTCAAATGTTCAAAAAAATTGCCCTCAAAGCTACTATGACTGTCCGAGGTATCACAGGTAACTCTTAAAGTACCTGTGCCAGTTACGCCAGTACTAGGGGACGCTAGGCAAAAAAGTTTCAAACAGACGAGATATTCTTGTTCAAAGGGTCAACCCTCCCCCCCCCCCCCCCTCCATACAGGAGCGGAGTTGTCTTTGTCGAAGATACCACAGCAGCTAATTTTAGACAAAATCGCGCCGCCTGAATTTCAAGAGTGCGATGTGGCAGAAAATACTAAGAGTACAGCTTGAACTTGCCAGAGCTCCACATACAAAAACATTTTATAATATTAGGTTGGCTAATAAGTAATGGCCGTTTTCTTCAATTGAAAAATTTGTTCGAAAAGTGAAATGTTTTGCAAGCAAGTTATATATCATCTGATAGGAAACTTCTCGTAGTAATAGAATATCAAAAAGCTTTGGTTGAGGATATAGTTTTTGTGAATTTTTTAGTCGTTGAAGTTGGAAGTGAAGTCGGCGAGAGAACACAAAAAATAAATCAGCATGCTTCGACAACTGCCTCTATTTACGTGTACTCGAAGTGACTCAAATCGCTTAAGCGGCTCCATACATCTCCGCGCGAAGAGTTGAGCGTGAACGAAGGTCTCACGAAGGGAATCATCAATCAGGAGCTTTGGAACGAATTTCAAGAGAATTTCAAAGTTGGCAACCTTCACCTTGCCAATATTGGGCAGGCTCACGTCTGTTCCACCTGAAATTTCATGCTAATAGTTGAATTAGTTGGATATGAATTTGATATTCTAATACTACGAGAAATTTGCTATTAAACGATATTAAGCTTGCTTGCAAAACTTCTCACTTTTGAAACAAATTTTTCAATTGAAAAAACGGTCATTACTTATTAGCCAGCCCACTAGCAGTTATAGGCAGCCCCACTAGCAGTGGGCTGGCTAATAAGTAATGGCCGTTTTTTCAATCGAAAAATTTGTTCCAAAAGTAAAATGTTTTGCAAGCAAGCTTAATATCGTTTAATAGCAAACTTCTCGTAGTAACCCTAGAACTATCAAATCACAATTCATTAATTGCAAGCTATTAGCAGAAATTTCAGGATGAGACAGACGCTGAGCCTGCCCAATAATGGCCCAAGGTGAAGGTTGCCAGCTTTGAAATTCTTGAAATTCGTTCAAAAGCGTCCTATTGAGATTCCCTTGCTGAGACTTCTAGCACGACCTTTTCCAAATGTATGGAGCAGCTTAAACGATTTGAGCACTTCGAGTACACGTAAATAGAGGCAGTTGTCGAAGATGCTAATTTTCGCCGACTTCACTTCCAACTTCAACGACTAAAAAATTCACAAAAACTATATCCTCAACCAAAGCTTTTTTGATATTCTTATACTACGAGAAGTTTCCTATCAGATGATATATAACTTGCTTGCAAAACGTTTCACTTTTCGAACAAATTTTTCAATTGAAAAAAACGGCCATTACTTATTAGCCAACCTAATAGTTACTGCTTACTCCTAATAATCCTCACCAAATTTCCGTACTATGATGATAGGGTTTGTTGAGAATGTTGACATCACATGGACGGCTCTCACCCGACCAACTCTCATTTTTTCCACAGGGCCGGTAAATGGGGGACAATGTCGCGTCGGAATACCACGCGGTAGCTGAACATATGGGTGAAGATATTATCAATACCAGCCAAAATTATACTCAATTCAAAACCATTTGATTTTGCGTGAATTCCAAGCCAATGGACTATTTACCTGTCCTTAATCAACGCGTCGAAATTCATAGCGAATTGAGCGGTTCCAACTCGAGGTTCGCCAAAGGTGTAAATTGTAATTTTATCGCCTGGCCTCAGACCTCAAAAATGTGGATAAGACTGGAAAACAGCTGGCAATAAATACAGTGGGCCTCTAAGCTCTCTGATAGTGTTTACCTTCTTTAGCGGTACGAGCAGCTGCTAAAGCAGCTAGGGCGCCTCCAAGCGAATGACCAGTGAAAACAACTTTGTAATCCTTAAAAGAAAGAATGAAATTATTCACAGCCTTGAGGCACTTTCAGTAACTGCATAGTGGCGGTTACTCGAAATTGTCAAAATACCAGCAAACATATACGAAAAGTAACATACAGCATACTTTGGATCCTTCAACACCTGTTCAACGGGTGGCCACAGTACATCATGGCCATGCAGGAAATATCCACTCACCTGAATGTCTTTGGATGAAGTCTTTGAAAAGGAGGCTCACGGACAATAAATATTTACTGGAATATGGTGTTACGAGCGTAAAAGAGACTAAATTGGGCAATTCAGGAGATGCTGGTCAGGAGATCCGCGTTGCGGCGAAACTGCTTTTCATTTAGTGTGGTGCTGCACAACCATTGTGAACGCTACCCTTTACTTGAAAAATAATACCGCATCGGCATTCTACGGTCTGCGCGTCACAGGATCGCTGATGTAGTGACTGCACTCCCTCCCTTTGAGGAAGTGTTAGGGTAATGGGAAATATAACGATTACCGTATTCTTTGTCATTGTGCTGCAATGGCAAAGAATACGGTAATTGTTATATTTCCCATTACCCTAACACTTCCTCATAGGAGGCAATGCAGTCACTACATCAGCGCTCCTGTGACGCGCAGACCGTAGAATGCCGATGCGGTATTATTTTTCAAGTAAAGGGTAGCGTTCAC